CAATGAGTAACTTCCAAATGTATCGCCACATCTATAGCCCCGGATGGACTCTGTCATGGCAGTTGGGCCAAAAAAGAAGTAATCTGGTCAATGGTAGGAGCTCAAACCACTGAACAAGGAGACTGTTCAAAGTTTAAAGGAAACATACTCATTGCTGCAAAAAGAACCCTACAGTGGTTGACTTGCTCCCTGGAGTCCCTTTACAACCAGCAGTTCACTAACTGTTGCAAGGGAGGCGTGATGGCCTCGTGGGGACAAGATCCAGCAGCCTCAATCTCTGCTTTTCAGGTAAGTGTTGGCCTTGCTGGGACTTCAAACAAGACAGTGAAACTGCCAAAGAACTTCACTCTGCTTGGTCCTGGCCCTGGATACACCTGTGGCCCTGCAAAAATCGTACCTTCCACAGTCTTCCTCACACCTGATCGCAGGCGAAAAACTCAAGCTCTGAGTAAGTCATTCATGTTTCTCATTCAACATTTCATGGTAACCATAAATGTCTAGAATTTCCATGGTGCTTTAACGAGGTTTTACCTATTATACATCTCATTTTTATGCAGTGACATGGAATGTGACCTGCACTTACTCACAGTTTCTTGCATCAAAGAATCCCAGTTGCTGTGTTTCCTTTTCAACTTTCTATAACGAAACAATAACTCCCTGTCCCTCCTGCGCTTGTGGATGCCAAAACAAAAACAACTGTATTATGTAAGCACCTTAACCAGTTTCCTCACAGCCCTGCAATTGAAAAAAGTCAGCATGATGATCTTCATATATTATCCTTCTCTACCAAATCAAGATGCGTAAAAAATGGTATACATTTAATTCAGAAATATAACTATGGAAATGCAGGAGTGATTCAAAGGAAGCACACAGGAAAGGAATAAACACGCCAAAGAAGGACAATTCACCATTGCTGCAATGCACACATCATATGTGCCCTATACGTGTGCACTGGCATGTGAAGCTCAACTACAAAGACTACTGGCGTGTGAAGATTGCCATCACTAATTTTAACTACCGAATGAACTATACACAATGGACACTGGTTGCACAGCATCCCAATCTCGACAAGGTTACCCAAGTCTTCAGCTTTGATTACAAGCCTCTTGTCCCATACGAATCTATAAGTAAGTGTTTGAGAACCTTTTTTATATGCAGATGATGAATAGGTCAACTTGCCTCAAACTAAATTGTCTGAAATGATTTCAGGTATCAGAAACCTGAAATGATTCCTGGTAATAAAGTTGAATTTGAATGAACTGTGTGCAGATGACACAGGCATGTTTTATGGCATGAAGTACTACAATGACCTGTTAATGGAAGCTGGACCTGAAGGAAATGTCCAGTCTGAGGTGCTTCTGCAGAAGAACAAGGAAACATTTTCCTTCAAGCAGGGCTGGGCATTTCCTCGAAAAGTTTACTTCAATGGTGATGAATGCTTGCTGCCTCCACCTGATACATACCCATTTTTACCAAACTCTGCTTCTGCAGATCCTGTTGCATTTTTTATAGTGGCATCTTCAGTTTTCTTGGGGATGCTGTTCCTTTTCTGATAATTTTTCCTCTGGGGAACCAGAAGATTTTGAGGTTGGTTTCAAAGACTGGATGCCTACATTGTCTTCTATGACAGGTATATATACAATACAACCATAATTTCTTGGAGATAAATAGGGATATTGTCAGAGTGTGAGATTTCAATTTTAGGAACCTTTCAGTAGAGATGCATGAGGTTGTCAATAAATAATCTATACACGCATAGCTAATCTTGAAATGTGCAATATTTTTGGAGTCAACCTTGGTGTCTAATTTGCAGATTAGACTCCTCCATATTTGAGGAGAGTATATTTTGCAAACAAAATTTTCCATACTACAGAAGTTTATTACAGATGCTGCATGCATGAGAAAGTGGAAGTAAAATTTATGAAGACATAATTCTGGGAACATATCCATATATCAAATCATTTCTGCATGAAGTTCTTCATTACAATGCTTTCAACGATCTTGGACATTCCACAAACAAATTGATGAGGTGTATAATATAAATAAAATTACAGAAAAGAACTAACTCTGAACAAAAAAAAATATGCAGCAATTCTAAACCTCAACGTATAAAATAAATAAAATCAGGACAATTCTGTATCGAAGGCTATAGCGCACCCGGATACCCTTCCAGCATGTTTACTTAAAAACCAACACATTAATCACAGCAACCGGATTGCATAAGCTTCAGTTCTGTCGAAACCTGTTGGGATCTCTTACATGCCGGAGCCCATTGGTTTTGGAGTCCTGGCTGAGATGAATCATCATGTGTGAACCAGTAGTAAAACAACAGACACAAACATCGCCATGACTGGACCAAGGAAGGAAAAGGTCTGCCCAGGACTGCCATTTGGCAACCAAGGATATGAATCTGGAGGTGGCATGACACAGTTATCACCATTGAAATATATCCTACGAGGAAAGGCCCATCCCTTTTCGAATGTAAAGGTTGATGCATCCTTTCTGAATAGCAACTCCGACTGAACATTCCCAAGAGGACCAGCTTCTGAGAGAAAGTCATTGTAGAACTTCACTCCCCATAACATGGCAGTATCATCTGCAAAACACATAATATTTGTTAGAAAAAAAAATAGTATTATTGGAAAGTTATATGACATACTATAAACTAAAAAAATGAGTACACTTACTTAAGCCTTCATAAGGAGTTAACGGTTTGTAATTAAAGCTGAAAATCTGGGTGAGATTATCAAAATTTGGGTGTTGCACAACTAAATTCCATTGTGAGTAATTCATCCTGTAATTGAAGTTCGTGACTGTGATCTTCACACGCCAGTACTCTTTGTAGTTGAGTTTAACATGCCAATGAACTCGGATTGGACACATATGGCTAGTACACTGGAGAAGTGGAGCATTGGTAGATTTGCCAGGACCAGAAACAGCTGAAGCTAAAAATGGAGAATTGGAACTGCGGAATAACCATCAAAGGAAAAAATCAGAACAAACTAGGACTGAGTGAAAAAACAAATGAGAAGGAGATGGAGGAGATGTGAACAAAGGGATCAATGAGAGTACATACTCCGCACAGCTCCCGGGTTCTGTTATGTTGTTTTGACAGCCACAAGCACAAGTTGGGCAGCTTACTATCGTGTCATTGTAAAAGGACGAGAGAGAAACACAACAGGTTGGCGTCTTCTGAGCCAAAAATTGTGAATATGTGCAAGTAACATTCCAGGTCACTGCAAAACATTGTCAAAAAGGAAGCAGGTGGGGTTAGGAAAAGCTAGAATTCATTTGAAAACCTAAGAAATAATATTAGCTTCTATAACACCACAGCTCATATTGTGAGTCCTACTGACGTAGTATCAGTCACTATGTTCTATCAGGGACCAAAAATGGATATATCAAGTTGCAGATTCGTCACAGATCAACTGTTAAGCAATTGCAAAAGCCTTCAGCAACAAACTTACTCAGAGCCTGGGTGACTCTTCTTTTATCAGGAGTGATATATTTGGTTGGTTTCACAATCTTTGCAGGTCCGCAAGTATATCCAGGTCCTGGAGCTTTCAGTGTGAAGTTTTTTGGCACCCTAACAGTTTTGTTAGTCGTTCCTGCAGCACCTACACTGAGCTGGAATGAGCTTGCTGCAGTTGCAGGGTCCTGAGCCCACGAATTCATTACTCCCCCTCTGCAGCAATTTGCAATCTGCTGGTTGTAAGGAGTGCCAGGCATTAAATCAACAACTGTAGGATCCTTCTTACAGCAATGTGGAATGTTCCCCTTGAACTTCGAACAATCCCCTTGCTCTGTAGTCTGAGCTCCTACCATGCTCCAGATTACTTCCTTCTTTGACCATGACCACCCCAAGGTCCAACCTGGTGATTGAATATGGCGATACTGCTGGAAATTATACATTGTAACCACAGCCTGCGACAGCCAAATGAAACAACCTATTAAATATAAAATTCAAGTGAGTTGGATACTGGATATTTAGAAAAACAAGAACTTACAACATAGCCATCTGGTGTCCAGTTTATTATGTCCCATTTTATTGTGATATTGCCATTTGGATCAAGCGCATCATAGGCTTCTGCAAAAGATTCAGATGAAAAGGATCAACACTTCAATTTTCGACAGTCTTACAACTAGTACCTAATCATCTTACAGGACCAAAGATTAAGATTTGCATGATAAGGCGGCATAAGATACCAAAACAGCAATTAACACACAGCAAGTAGGAAGTATAACAATACAATATCTAATTATTTATGGTAAAACCCACAGAACCCTTGATCTTTTCCAGCCTCATTTGTTATAATCGCTGAAAAAGTATTGCAAGATCTGACTCAAAGGCAGAATTCAAGATGCCTTCTAACTTCCAAATATTAATGGAAAGCTTTCATAATGTTCTTGAGCAAAATTGATTGAGATTTTCTTTTCTGTATGCAGCTTACACAGTAAGGCAATACTCGATTGTTCACAAGAACCGAGTATCCTCAAGTTTTATTCTTATTTTTCTTCATTAAGAATTCAAAACGAAAGCTATCATACTATTAGAATTCAATCATTATAATTCAAAAACGAAATCAAATCATGAAACATTAAATTCATTAAACACAGAAAGAAGAACGCATAATATCAGAATAGTTCTCCACCAGTCAACCACGTATTCTTGTCAGTCAATACGCAAAGAGCAAGAGAAATATAAAGCAAACGACAAAACCCATATTCAGTAAATCAAGGAAAACCAAATACGAATTAGAAAATCCTAAAAAGGTGGAAGAAGAAAGATGCGTATTGGGCACTACCGATGGAAGTGAAAGTGGAGCAAGAGAGGAAGAGCACAAGCAAAAGAGCGAAGCTACTGAGGTTAATGGTGGATCCGGTGGCTGAGAAGAATAATGAGTAGCCCATCTCTTGATTGCAGTGCAGAGCTTGGATGAGAGAAAATGATGCTCAACGTGTTAATCAATGAAAGCTCAAGATCTGCATAAGCATGGAGGATGGAAGAGAGAGAGAGAGAGAGAGAGAGAGAGAGAGAGAGAGAGAGAGAGAGAGAGATTTTCACATGGACAAGAAAGCATTTCTTGAGTGGGTAGACTTTAATAAAACTGCTGTAGTTCCAGTGGAATGCAACTTTTGAAATATTAAATTACCATAATGCCCTTCTTCATCCAAAAACTGAGTTAGGTAGAACTTGCTAACACTACTTTTTGTAAATTTTCATTTCATTTTTATATACCCAAATTATGTTGCAATCTTTTATAAAAAAAAAAAAAAATTACTAAAAATAAAAAAATTATTTTAAATGAAATAAAAATTAACTTTAAATGTACTATTTAATTTATATTCTCATGTACTATTTAATGTCTTATACTTACACAAATTTTACCATTGTAGTTTTTCTTTTTTTATGAATTTGGTTATTAAGAATGTTTTTATTTATTTTAAAAACTAAATTATAAGTGTATAGATAGCGAACAAGACTCGAATTTAAATTGTCCAAGACAATAATTAAGATATTATGTTATATAAATTAAATACTCTTAATAGTTTCTTTTATCATATATTAATTAAAATTGAGATAATTATTTATTTATAAAAAAAATTTCTTCTACCATAAAAATTTATATATTAATACATAGTCTTATAAAGACTTTTACCATGTTATTGGTTTTTCTCTACAAAAACTTGATAGTCAAATGTTTGCACTTGAATTTACATTCTAATTAATTATATTAATCAAATAAATTTTCCAAAACAAAAAGATTACTTAATTAATTAACCATGTATTGAACAAAATCCTTTGAATTATATATGTATATGCTTGGGGATAATTCCTAAAAGTTATATGAAGATGAAGGTCACTATATTTTCCAAGCATTTTGGAAGTGCCCTTCACTTGTTATGGATCATAATTTTCCTTTTACAGCATATTACTTTGTTAAAACTTTTATTTCAAGCTGCATATGCATATTTACATTATCTTAAAAATTAAAAAAAAAAAAGAGGGATAAATGGGTAAATACCATTTATGATTGAGGATATTTTTGGAACGAAATTTATATAACACACACACACACACACATATATATATACGTAGTGGGAGATGAATGTAGATTTTAACAGAGACAGCAAAGGGTGTGGGCCAGAAGGGCATTTGTCTCTTATTTCACCGCTGTCGGTGGAATAAAAATTTAAATAATTTTATAATTCGTTATTGTTATTATTATTTTTGGAAGTAATTATTTTGGCATTTTCCTCCACCAAACCAATACGTGGACCATTCTTAAAATTTAAATTATTATTAAAAAATTATTTATAAATTAATTTACTAAGTGTAGATTGGTGCCGACAATTAGCCAACCACCATTACAGAAGTCTCATGGTTTAATTAATACTTGTCAAAACTATTATTTTTTTAGAAGAAAATGATGGTTTTAATCACTTATATAACTCTCTAAATTTTAAATAATTTATATGAAATTAAAGTAAGTTTTTTATACATAAAAATATTTTTTATTTTATTTCTGAATTTCATATATAAATATTTATATATAAGTTTATTCATAAGATAAAACAATTTACATATTTATAAAATAAATAAAGCAAAAATTACATGTTTTAATAAAAAACTTAAAAAAACATTTTCAGTTGTTTTCACTTTTATTTTTTATTATTAATTAAGTTATTTAATTTTGTGAATATGATACATATAAATCCAAAAATACTAAAGTAATTTTTTTTATCTGTTTTACTTTCATTTTCTATTATTAAATAATTCATATAATTTTTTGAATAAATTGCATATAAATTTAAAAACAAACATAAAATCATTCAATGTAATACACAGAATCTAAAATTCTCTACTTACATATATCTTTAAAGGTGTGAGATTTGTAACATCTAATAATGTTTAGAAACAACACTACCCGAACTTTGGTGGTAAGAGGAATCTCTACATACAGTACATCTCTCAGTTTCACCAAAATTGCGTGGGAGCTCGTCTGCACTAAAAACCATTCCTTAAATCAAAAAAAGAAAATGTCAAGTTTAGAAACCAAAGAAACCGAGTTCGCTAGCTTTTTCCTTCTCGAATGTCTCAAAGTACTGATAAATGATGGTAACTGCAAGAAGAATTCCAGTCCCTGAGCCAATGGCCCCCATAAAATCCGCCAACACTGTCAATGCACCAATGCAAATCCCACCAAACGCTGCAGCTGTTGGTATGTATCGGTTAAGCTCCTTTTGTAAGTTTGACTCCCTATGCCCGGGCATAACCATTTGTTGTTCCTGAAACGACACATACAGATCATGTTACATTTCCAATAACACCACCACTCAGGTCAATATTCAACACAAACGACATCATATGGATATTCCACATGCCATAACTAGATTTTAGATGCTAGAATTTGTAAAGAGTATCAGATCTATCTTAACATTCAATTCAACAAATCAACTACCTTGAGCTGCTTGGCAACATCTCTAGCAGATGAGCCAGAAACTTCAATCCAAGTTTTTGAGAACAGTGCACATGCAGATAACATGAACACAAGATAGAACAAGGCGTGGAAAGGATTGGCAGCCATATCAGCCAAGCTGCAAAACAACAGGCAACATGATAGAGTAGAATCAGTAACAGAGTGTGTAGAAAGAGGAGAAAAATTAGTATATTTACTGACAGGATATGACATAAATAATTTATGGAAAAAACAAAAAAAAATTCTCTCCCAGTCACCTGGAAGGTGCAGTGATATAATATGCAATACCACCAACAGGGATAAACTGACCACCGGAATATTCAGACTCCTTCCACTTGCCCAAAAGATTCACAAAGAAATTTCCACTGTACCTCCTGTATAGCAACTACAAAACCAGGATATTAAATTTACTAACTTTTATAACCAGAGAGAGCTTTTTTTTTTCTTCTCTGTTGACATCAACTTGTGCACAAAATTTATCTACTTCCCATTACCTGAGAGATGAAGTACAGGTTGGAGACAAGAGCAGACTGCAAAATGATGGGCATGTTAGAGGTGTAAAACAGCTTGATAGGGTAAGAGCCCTGCTGCCCACGAGCATTCTTTGACCTCACAGGCAAAACAACACGGAACCCTTGGAAGTAGATAACAATCAGGAATATCAAGACTGTGGCAAGCAGATTTGTCACGTTAGGAAGATTCTGCCGGTAAAAAGCCTCCCGAAGCGCACGAACTTTATCTGTTCGAGTGATCAGCAGATGGAACAAAGCAATGACAGCACCTTCAAATTCAGCTCCACGCCCACTATTAATGGTTGTTGGACTAAATGCTTTCCAAATTATGTTCTCACTGAAAGGGAATTACAAGACACTTTAAGCATTCAAAATCTGTAATAGCAACAGTGGTTGGCTGTGCAACAATAGACACTAATGGATCTAGCAAACAGGAAAAAGTCTCACCAGATGTTGGTTGCAATGAAAAGGGAGATTCCAGATCCTAGACCATATCCCTTTTGGAGAAGTTCATCCAAACATATAACAATGATCCCAGCAAAGCAGAGCTGGACAATGATAAGGATTGCATTCCCCACTCCCAGTTGGCCAACACTACCATACATCCCAGAGAGAACATATGCAACTGCTTCACCAACAGCTATCAAGATTCCTAACAACTTCTGTGCACCATTTCTGAGAAAGAAGCCAAGCCAAAGACAGATATAAGTTGTGAGGAAAAATGTTGCACATCAAAACAATCACCAAAAAAAATTCCAATGTTAAGAAGATAAATTTTAGCACGTTGTAATAATATTCACACACCATAAAACATCTTGAACATTCTTAGAGCATTCATCATGTGATGCTACATCAGAAAGCCCAAGTCTAATGAAACTGCTAAACCCCTTGGAGTATAAAATTAAAATATAGCAGAGAAAGCAATGCATATTGGCTGCAATTTGTACACTTTAATAACTAATGCCAAGAAACCAAGCTGCAGATTAAGGAACTTACAAGAGTGCACGGTCCTCACGGACATTATTGTCAACCTCAATAATTTTTGATCCAGCAAGGAGTTGCATAACGAGTCCAGATGTCACAATTGGTGTGATACCAAGCTCCATGACAGTCCCTCGGTTTGAGGCAAGAATAACACGCATCCAATAGAATGGATCCGCACCAGTTGTGGAGTGTATCCCATAAAGAGGGAGCTGACTACACACCAAGAAAATGAACAGAGAAATCACAGTGTATATTACCTTCTCTCTGAATGGAACTTTCCTGTCAGCACTTTGAACTTCGGGCAGAAACGAAAGAAACGGTCTGACAAGATGAAGCACTCTAAATCCACCTCCCATTTTGCGTTGTACAAACTAATCCAAATAAAACTGCACCAGCCATGCACAAAAAGATAAGTAAGAGAAAAGATACAGCTTTCAATGTTTCCCAAATTTTTAAATACACCTTTAAAAATCCAGCTTTCATATAAATGCATCTAGTTCACTACAGATGTTCGATTTTATATAACATAAAAGCACATATATCAAACCCCCTTTATACATCCAATTCACTGACAGTAATCAACACAAAGGACTGAAATCACTAATCAAGAGCTCACCCTCGAAAAGAGAATCTACAATACTCAGCATAATTATCACTTAACTTTAAACCATTTCTCAAATTTATTTCTTCATGATTTCCTTTTTCAAATTTCCTTTGCCTTGTCTTTTTACCTTCATTATATTACTCCCAATATCTATGTCCGTTTTATTATAAACATCTTATCTTATTTGACTAGTAAATCATTTAATTAATTTGACATATCTTCTTATTTATGCATTTCAAATTATAACTTAATTTCCTTTCTTCTCTAAGCTTAAAAATCCAATTCCCACTCAACAATTAGATATTTACTTTTAAGCATATATATACAGATGCTAGTATATATACCTATACATATATACACACACATATATCTCCAGAGCACACATACATTCAGATTTCTTTACACACACATACGCATCCAATTCCCACTCAACTGTTGTTACTTACTTTTACACACATGTATACAGATGCTTATATATATATATATACCCAGAACACATGTATATATGCGCAGATTAACACAAGTATATATTTACACAGACTATTACATATATATATATTCTCACAAGCGTACCCAAGCACAGTACACACCCTTGCACTTTTATACACATATATATACATGCACCCACATATACTTATATAAGTACATATTTACGGAACTCTATAACCATATATACTCACATACGCATACACATACACAGTTTAACATATAATACTTATATTTTTGCACACACACATATACGCAGCTTTACATGTATACTTATATTTTTATATATACACACATTTGTACATTATATTTATACAGATTCACACAGCACGCATATTACTCATTTATATATTTACGATTACATATACACACACACTCACTTATTTTTACAGATTTACACAGCATGCATATTACTTATATATATATATATATATACAGTCACATATACACACACACACATTTTTCCTTCGTATTAATGTGACAGTATTAATTTGACATATACACAAATGCAGGCACACGCATACAACGGTTCATACATTACCATATTATCACATGCGCACACAGATTCATTATACAAGTATATATATCAGACGCACACATATACACACATAGACCTATATGCTCACATATATATACACACAGATACTTATTTAACTATACTCAACATTTACAATATACATATTTACACACATGCAATTGCACAAATATACTCAGTCTTCGAATTATATGCCCATGAATTGTATGCACCTACACAAACATGCAAAATGAATATGAGCGTATTGATTAACAGAGACGGAAATCCTTCTCCTACGCTCCCTCACCTTCGTCTTTCCGTTTCCATTCATCACAGTAATTAGCCATGCGAAAACCATTTCAGTAAAATCAAGAAAATGCATCCAGAAAATTGGAAAGGCAAAAACAGTAAAAGAGAATACATTTTTCGGATTCCGTCTGGTAGTACCTGCCTAAAACTTCTCAATAAATAAATCACTGATTAGGTTTTTGTTAGGGATTTCAATAGAGGGATTCCAGAATAGCAGATATCCTACACTCTTATCCAAAAGCGGACAGAAAAAACGGCCGGAGCCTCACGGTTTTCCGGTCACCTGGTTGGGTTTCCTTCACTCGGTTTACGCTCTACACATGATACATTTCAGATATTTATAAAATTAAAGTAGAAAAAAAGACAGGGAAAGGAGGAGAAACGGTTTACCGGCGTCGGCTTCCTCCGGCACGGCGTCTCCTCTGACTCTCTCTCTCTCTCTCGTCTATTTCCCTCTCTCTCTAGTCTTCCAGCTAGGGTTTGGTTTGACGGGAAAATACTCACCCATAAAAATTCTCAACCTTCCGACTCTGGCTTCTGTCTTGCACGGGGAACCATCCGATTGCCCTCCACTAAAGGCATTTTGGGCTTTTCTCATTCAGACGAACTCTGGGCCGTTAGATCCTTTCTCTGGTGAGATCGAGACCGTTCAATTTATAGCCGTTAGATCGCATGATTTAAGATCTCGACCGTTGGATGTTGGTTCAACAGGGACCGTGCGATCGACATCTGAAATGACAACCGTCCGATCTGTATAATTTCTTCCGCATGCGTGGCTGGCACGCGTTCTCCTCCGAGCCAAGCCAGCTTGCTGATGTGGAACGCATTCAAAATTGGCAATTTGACCCCTAGACGCCCAAATTTCTTTCATTTGGGTCCTAAATTATTTACGGAAACACCCTTAAAATTTTTGTTTCAACTAGATCAAACTTCATAGTTTTAGGTTTTCTTTAATTTTCTTCAATTTTTTATAATTTCCTAACTTATCTAAAACTTCAAAAATATCCCTTAATGCATAAATAAATATTAACGTGAACACTTAGTGAAATTTTTACTTAATAGTGCATCGGATCATTACATCATGTAAATAATCGACCTTATCAGTGTTTGTTATTATTGTAAGGAATGATAAATATATGAGAATTTAATTTATTGCATTCTAATTGAAATTATTTAGGGATTGAATGGTTTAATGTTCATGATTTCAATTGGAGTATGGGACGTTACAACTTAATTTTTTTTAATTATTATTAATTTTATATAATAGAATTTCAATTAACTTTAAATAAATTTCATTACTTTTCATTTTTAATTAAATGTTCAATAAAAATTTTACTAAATAATTGATGTATCATTGTTATGTTACTCTAATTTTATTTTAAATTTAAATAATATGTGAAAAATTACTTTATGCAACTTATTCTTTAATAATAACTTTTCAAGGTAGGAGAAGTAGCACATGTGATTGAGTGGCATCAATTAAAACATAATATTTGATCAAATTATACTAGGAGTATCCTTATTTATTATATGTCATTGGAAGTTTTATTATAATTTAATTATTAAAATATAAGAGTACCTAAAATAACCTGAATTTTAAAAATAAGTAAATTTTATTAATTAAGATAGAAATCCTTTTAAAAAAATGTTTGAATTAATTAAATTAAAAATCACAAAATTCATCAAGAAATGCAAATATAAATAAAATTATTAAATTATGACTTCATTGAAAATAAATTTCAAAGTTAGGGCCTTTTTCGAATTAAAAATGACAAATTTAAAAGGATTTTAAGCGACTAAAGGTCACTCTGCAATTTCAAAAAAAACAAGGCACGTAGGATAACCCACGTGGCAGCTCGACCAATTGGATCATGTTGTGTGGTGGCTACGCTAGCAGGAGTTTGGTACAGGATCACATGCTGGCAATTTTCGTGCATCTGATCGAACGGACCTTCACGTGCAATGTCAACCTAATCGGACTGTTGGGATATTATGGGCAGGAGTATTTAAACTCTTTTTCCATTAACTCTAAAAACCCTAGCCGACAGGGGGACGTCGGAAAAAAAGTAGGGGATGCCTAAGAGAGTTACAGATGGCAGAGCAATAGAGGCGCCGCCATACCAAAAATTCAAATCGGCTTTAGTAAGCACGATTTTCTTCTATTTTCCCATTCTTTTGACCATTTTTAATTACCTCACTACATATTAGGTAGGAAAACATCAATCCGAGAAGAAGATGTGCGTACACTATGACCGGTAGTTGCTTGGGGCGACACAATGGGCTTCTAACTTCGATAAAGATACTTGAACCCCCTCTGTAATCGTTTGATTGAAGTTTGACCTTAAATCATCTAAATTGATTGTAGTTTTAGATTAGATCTCATGTAAAGTGCTGATGGTAATGTTTTAAATTAATTTCGTGCATTCTTGGTATATAATTAATTATGTATGTTTGTTTTAGTTATTTGACATCTATTATGTCGTTATGGTTTTATACATCATTGCGGGTTGACATTTGAGAAAGGTCATTCATGGCTATTTGTGTGAAAGGGGTGCATGCGAGTGCTAGTATGTGAATATGTATTTGTCGTGGTTGGTGTTCAAGCTTCATTTTTAATTATTTTATTTTATTTTATATGATTCTATTATTTTATCATGTTTCATTATTTTATCTATTTTAATTGTTATTTTATTTTTTATTAATTACTTTATTTCATTTATATCATTTTATTTTATTACATTCTATATTATTTGAATTTATGTCAATCGTTTTTATCTTATTTGTTTTGTATGTTATGGTGGTTCATTTTTATTATTTTCGTTTTATCCTATTGATGATTAATTATCCTTCGGTGTGTATTCAATTATGGGTTACGCATTCCGACATTATTTTTTGATGTACGTGTTAAAATTTCAATGGTTGGAAATGAAAGTTGTATGAGTTTATTGGATATTTACATATTGCGGATTAGTTATAAATGAAAAATAGAATATGATAATTGAGATGTGTAAACTCCATCCATCATCATGCTCTCAGGGGAATACCGGCACAACTCTAGGAATTTTCGGACATACTCTGACACAGTCATATCACTCTGAACCAAGTGTGTAAACTCCGTTTTCTTCATATGTCGGAGATACTCTGGGAGGTACTCTGATTGAAGGCCATCAGGAACTGTTCCCAAGTGATTGGAACAGGCTGGGTGGCCTGCTTGAGTTACCACCAACGACCTGCCTCTCACACCAGCGTGTAGGTGGCGAGTATAACTCTTTGATCGGGAACCACCCCAAGAGTTATTAAAACCTTCTCTATCTCAGCTAACCAGAACTCAACCTCTTCAAATGATGATACCTCTGTAAAAGTAGATAGGTTTAGTCTTTTGTACCTCTCAATATAGTTTGGGTCCATCATGGGTGGAACTGGGTCCCATGGAAGAGGGATTGGATTTTGCTGAGGAGGGACCGGATGGCCCTGTGGTCGTACTGAATGATACGATGGATGTACCGGATTATACTGTGGTGGTACCGGGTGATATGATTGGGGCACTAGACTATATTGTGGTGGTGCCGAATGGTATTGTGGAGGAGCAGAATTCTAGTAGGGTGGCTCAGTATCCTCCCATTGTAGGGGCGGCTCAAATTGTGATAGTGAGGGAGAGTTAGGTAGCTCCCTCCTTTCCTTCCGAACCTGCTTGGCAGCGACAAGTCTCTCATTCATTTCTAATAGTTGGTCAACATCCTCTCGAAGCGAACTCTTCTAGCTGCTCAGTTTAGTGGGAGTCTTCCTCTCCTCATCTATCTGTACCTGCATTTCACAATTAATGGTTGAGTGATAATTTATTTTTTTAGTGTTACCTTAGGTCTTTGTGTAAGGAATGGTTTTGAGGAACGCGACCTTGATATCAACTGCAAAGCCCGGAACTTAAAAAAAAAAGTCATAAATTAAGTGCAGAAACGAAATAATTAAGTTTAGGGTTTACATTACTTACACAATAATTTAGAATGCTCAATAGGGCTACGTGAATGACCATTCTAAAAGAACAAAAAAAAAAATTAAAAAAATAAATAAAAAGAAATATGTTGAGCATTCTAGAATGACCTTCACTAGCTTTTAAAAGGAATCCGAGTGGTCAACTATTCAAACTCTCTCGTTGATCGGGATCTAGGTCTTGATCTTCTTAATCTGAAATAGTTAACGAAAAGGTGATCTACACTAGCTTAGTAAGAATATCACACTACTCACCGATACAAAAACTGAAAGTTAGTAAAAATCATAAAAATAACCAATAGAGCTCTTGATTTAAGTAAATTCATTTATCATACGGAAAACGATTTATTACATATATTTACCATTGCGAGATTTCCAAAATCGACCTATAGAGGCAATAACTCAAATAACATTCTAGTCTCATATTTAAGTGAACAATAACAACTACTTTCCCTTTTTATTTGCCTACTCGTATCCCTAGGGGCTCATAAGGATGTCCCACTACGCGTGAACCAATATCCAACATTATCAACTAACTGGTTGTCCCCATACCATGTTCGATATGAGCACTAAAAATATTATCTCTCAATACCTCGTCTGGTATGAGAGTAAATCGGGTCATCCCCATACCCCGTCTGGTATGAGCGCCAAAAAAACCATTCCTCGATAACTCGTCTAGTATAAAGCTACGTTCACGGTAGAGTTTTCAATGTACCCGGTCCGTGTACCATCTTCTAAGATATCCAGTAAGGCTATTATTTATTAATTCACATAACCAAAAAATTTTCTATTTATATATTAATTTTTAATTTCACAAATCAACAATAAATCACGCAAGACAGATAATATATATATCAATGAAATATAATTGAATCAATTAATTATTCCAGTATATCATCAAAAGCTGTAAATTCAACAATCAGTTAAACAAAAGAAATAAATAAATAACTAGTTTCGGCCCAATTAGTAACCTATAATTATTCTAAAAAATTTTTAATTTACACAAAATACCATATTATTGATTATTAAGCTTCAATTCCATAACAGAGAATAAGGTGAGTAATTCTTACCCGAATTGGTGTCCGAAACACTGAACTTTTTACAGCGCCTACTGGCGGTCCCCAGGTTTCCTGAATTTTACTACGGAGATTAAAACACGTTTCACGTACCTAAAAATATTTCCACAAATCCAAAATGATTGTTAAAAACTTTTTTTAGCTAATTTTAGAATTCCGGTACGACAGCACCGCTGTGCTCCAGCGATGCCACCGACGCCTGTGGCGGCAGTTTGCCTCGC